CTAGACGTAAGATGGAGGAGTCGGGTCAGGAGAGAGAGGAGGAGACACTAGAGGAGAACGAGGGGGAAAACGAGCTGGAGAGGAGTCTGGAGGAGGGAACACGGGGCCGGAGACTGGCAGAGGAGGAGACGGCGGGGACGGAGGAGGCACTAGCGGGAGGCCAGGGGAAGGAAGGCCGAGGAGGCGAAGAGGAGACACCGGCGGCGACTTCGGCGGCCGCCTGATGCCAACACCAGAACCTCCAGCAGCACCACGCTTCGCTCCAAGAAGCTCCACTCCAGCACCCCCAGAAATGGAACCCGCTCCAGCACGCTCCCCAGCACCCCCAGAACGCACGACCCCCAACGGCGGTGATGACGGCGGCTGCGGCTGCGGCGGCGACGGCATCTGCGGAGGCGGCTGTGGCTGCGACAGCACCAGCGGCGACAGAGGAGGAGAGACCGGGGCAGGGTCAGGCGGTGGAAGAGACTCCGGAGAACCGCAAGAGTCAGCAGACTCCTCGGCAGGGACACGCAACGGGAGAGGGGTGACGTGAGATACACCAGACGGGGCAGAGCGGGGAGGGTGGGGGACGGGGCGACCAAGGGAGGAGTAACCAGGAACAGGGGGGGGTAACTGGGTGACCACAGTGGGGAAAGCGGTGGTAAAAGGAGACGAACTCGTCAAAGGTGACGTCGCAGGAATGAAAGAAGCGGTGAGACTGCGGGTGGAAGAAGTGCCAGTCAGACGAGTCGAGGGGGAAACCTAGGAAGACACAGGGGACAATGCGGGCAGTGAGCTTGTCCATGCCAGAGGCACGAACGTGACCAATACAACCCCAGACGTGGAACGCAGACGCGTCACCAGGAGACCCGGTCCAGAGGAGGGTCGGCGAAACCTGCGGCCGCTGAGGGTGCGGCCATAGGTTAAGCTGGTGAGCAGCGTAGCGGACAGCGTACGAGCCACCTCCATGACCAAACCGATGCGTCGCTCAGTGACCCCATTCTGCTGCGGGGAGTCCGGCAGGGTGTACATCTGGGTGATGCCCTCCGCACGATAGAAGCGACCAAGGCAGCCAGAGGCGAACTCGCCACCACGGTCGGAGTGAAGACGCAACACAGGGAGACCACAGTGAACACGCGTAAAGACAAGCCACGAGATAAGAACGTCAGGCACGTCAGCCTTCCGCTCCAGGGGAAACACCGTGGTATAGCGCGTATAGTCGTCGACAAGCACTAGGAAGTAGCGCTCTCGACGCGGCCCATGGACGGGGGTGGGGCCTCAGACGTCCATGTGCAGGGTCTGCAGCAGTGCGGCAGTGGGGGGGAACGAGGAGGAGTGAGGGGCACGGAGGAGCCGGCCCTCGACGCAGGGCGTTCACGGCGGCGCTGGTGAGGAGGGTAGCTCGGGGAACGATTCACGGAGACCCAAGACAAGACCGTGCAGAGACATGTGACGAAGCCGTGGAAGGGCAGGGTGACCTAGACGGTGGTGCCATAGAAGCGTCGGGTGAGTGAGCAACCGGCACGAGCAAACCGCAACAACCTATGCAGACACTTGGGGAGACGTCCCAACAAGGGGAGACGCGGTGTCCAGCGTGAACAGGCCAGACACCGGGTCCCTGGGGAACATGGTGAGGGGAGCCCCAGTGGCGGCCTTGGTACAGAGAGCGTACCACTTGTGACCCAGGAACATAGTGGTGACGCTGAGGTCCTGAAGGCAGCCGACACGAAATAGGTTCCTAGAGAACAAGGGGATGTGGAGGCCTGTAAGAGAGCCCGAAGGAACCGCCGGACCGGGGAGGGTGGTGGAACTACGGGCGACTACCGGACCGGAGGAAGGGTCTGCAAAGGGCAACTGCGGTAGGGACGTCAAGCGGTGTAAGTGTAGTGTGGTCCCGAAAGAAACACCGAGACGCGCCAGAGTCAAGTGTGAAGGAGAGCGCGGTAGTGTCGGCTGGGGGCGGAGGAGCTAGGGTGGAGCCAAGGCTAGGATCCTATGCCTGACGCAGCAGAGGAGCCTGAAATGGGCACACTGGGCACACCTACACTAGGCAACACGGGGTAATAGGAACCAGTCACACTAGAGTTATCGATATACAGCACATACAAGGCAGAGCTAATCTCATCGATGTCCATATCAAAGATCCTAATACCACGACGGATCAGACTGTGCCAGTCAAGGAGGTCCGGCGCCGGGCCGAAGTGGAGATGAAACAGGTCGTCTAGGCGACTGAAACAGCGAGTGGGGGTATGAGGAGATCTTACCGCACACGAGGCCATGGCGAGGACCGGTCTGGAGCTGGTACTGGCAGCGCCCGTCACTCGCACCATCACCCGACGACACGCCGCGCGCACGACCACTGCTACCACCTCCACCACCAGCGCCAGGCCACACAGGCGGGAGACGGCCGACCCGCCGTTGCGACTGCTGCTGCGGCACTTGCTGCTGATGCTGCTATGGCTGCTGCTCCGAGGCACCAGCCCCAGCGCCCTCGTCGGTACTACCAGTGAGTGAACCACCTCCACCCCTGCCGTCACCCCCGCCTCCGCTACTGCTGCCGCGCCCAGCCTTGGTGCGGCAACCCTTACCCGGACGAAACTGCGCTGCGGCGGCTGTCTCCGCAGTAGGTGCTGTCTCAGCGACAGCAGCAGAACCGTCAGAGTAAGTGCACGGAGCGGGGGCACAACCCTAAAAGATAGGGAATGGCGCAGTACCGCTGGACGGGTCGATAGAGCGCTGACGGGTCTCCATAGCAGATAGGGTGTCGACAAAGTCAGTGAGGGTGAGGTCAGCGGGGTGGAGATTAAAAGAGTGATCGCGGGCAGTAGCAAGGCGGTTAGGGACGCGGGTGGCATGCAGGTGATAGAGCAGATAGGGGGCTGAAACACACTAAGCTGGGACGCGAGATCAGGAAAGAGCATGGGCAGGATTAGGCGATTGACAGAGGCAGAGGGCAGGGTGGAATAACGTGCGACAACAGCCTCTAGGAACTCCTGCTCAGTCCTGACCGACCGAAAGTGGGGGCGCTCGGACAGGGGGAGGGCATGACTAATCACGAGCTGTGCGACAGTGTCACACAACAAACCGACAGCACCGGCAAGGGCAGCAGCAGCAGCGAAATCACGGTCAGCAGACGTGGGATCAGTGGGTAGAGCAGCAGGGGGGTCAGGACAAGGTAGCGTACCGTCGATGTGGACGGCCAGGGAGTGGCCATCCTGCCGCTGACCAGTGAGGTGACGGCGGAGGTCGACGAGCCACGTGTCGAACTCTCCGACTGACCCACCGCGTCAAAGCGCAGCACCGAGTCCGCCATCATGGTCGCTGCAGCAGCTGACAGGCGGTATTGGGCTGTACAGAGTGGAGGAGTGCGACAGGGAGCAGTGGTGAGTGGTGCGGTGTGGTTCAGTCTAGTAGAGAACAGGGCAATACGGTGGAGTGCGGTGCAGTGCGGTGGGAGGGGCCGACGTGGGTGCAAGGCGACGGAGCAGCGGGCGGCTGAGCGTCGGGGCCGGCTAGGCGGCTAGGCACCGGGCCGCAGGGCGGCTAGGGGACGGGGCCGCGTAGTGGATAGGTGACGGGGTCGTGGGCAGCTGGGCGTCGGGGCCGGGTAGGAGACTAAGCAACAAGGCCGCGGGCGGCTAGGCGACGATGCCGTCTAGGCGGCTAGGCGGTGGGGCTGCTGGGCGGCTAGGTGACGGGGCCGCGAGCGGTTAGGCGACGGGGCTGGTGAGACGGCTAGGCGATGGGGCCGCGGGCGGCTAGGCGACGGGGCCGCTGGGTGACGGGGCCGCGGGGCCGCTGGGCGACGGGGCAGCGGGGCCACTGGGAAACGGGCCGCGGGGCCGCTGGGTAACGGGCGGCGGGGCCGCTGGGTGACGGGGCTGCTAGGCCGCTCGATGTCGGGGCCGCGGGGCCGCTCGGTGACGGGGCCGCTAAGTGAGGGGGCCGGTGAGACGGCTAGGACCTATGGCGGAAGCGCTGGTGGGCGGTGGGGACCTAACCTACTCATCATACCATATCAAACTGAACGAATGACCCCTACAAGGATATATAGCCTAGGGTGTTGTACTCTCTATGGCCTGACCCTATGTAGTCTACAAAACATACACACATATGTTTGACAAGAAATTGAAAGGTTATGCAGGAGACTAAGCATAGAATCTGTTCGAGTCAATACTTGGGAGTAGTATCTCTACTACTCGATAGTACTGTTAAATTATATATTTTGTTATATAATTGGTGGGCTTGGTAGGTTATCGAACTCTACTGTAGAGGGTACAATCCCCTCGTATGCCTCTCTCTCTTCTAGTTCACTTTCTTTTCTCTCGTCAAACTTTCTCTCCTAGCTCCTAGCTCCTAAACCCTCACGCCATTTCATGGCCGCCTTTCTTCCTAGCTAGTCTTCTTAACAAGTACTTGTAAGGATCGTAATTCTGGAATGGTAGACTAGTAAGATAGCGGAAGTCTTATAGGAGTAAACCTGAGCACATGAACTTGTGGGTAGTCGAAGGTTGAATCACATGAGCACATAATTCTGTGTAAAGTCAAGGTTAATAATAGAAAGGCATTACAAGGATTTATAGCTCTAGGGAAAGTACCCGTTTGGCGAGTTGCGCGCTATGCGACCTATTCGTCATTCTATAGGGTCGCGACTGTTAGCATGGCCGAAGCGGTTCGTTACGCCAATTCGCGTAACTGAAACGGTATGCTGACATCATTCTCGAGACGCGGGATGCTTTGCTAATGTCAGCACTCGGACCTGTTTCCTTACCGAGAAACTTGATACTGCTAGCTACACCAAAAACGGAACTTGCAGGAATGCAAAACTTTATTTATCACAACAAAGGGTTGGTTGAATATCCAGCCCCTATATTCATCTACACCCCTAGATAGCCCAACTTGGTTATATTTACCCAAGTATGAGAAACTATACAGGATAAAGAGAATGTTATATTCTAATATAGTATCCATTGCATAGCGCGAGGCTATGGTATTCTGGATTCCTTGAATGGAGTGCTGCTAGCAGAGGGCTGAATGCAGCAACAAGAGGGTTGTCAAAGTATTCGTGAATCATGGCATCTCCCACCAGATCGATTTAGGGGATTCTCCGAACCCTGTAGAAGAAAGGGCTGAAAGCAGCTCATGTGCCACTATTGGCTTCCTCACAGCTCCATCCATCCCTGCCTCCATGCATGCTCTCTTCACACCTGCATCCAAGTCAGCAGTGAGGGCTATGATGCAAAGGCGCTGATTCAATGGACCTGTTTCCACCGTTTCATCGATCGCACATGCTTCCCCTGCCCCGTCTGTTGCGCTACTGGCTGCCATGTTTGCCTCTGGCACCTGCTGTGCTCTCTCCATGGCACGGATACGATGCACCGTCTCGAATCTGCTGCGGAAAGAGACTCAACCCGTGTCAGGGATGGCAGGAAGGTGGAGTGAAGGATGGCAACATTTGCAGATGAAAGGGGAGAAAGGAAAGGGGACCCTGCTGCTCAATTCAGACAACACACCTCCTTCATGTGCAACTCACAGATTTCATCACTTTGGTAGGTGGAATGGGCTAGTATGCCAAACACCAAGGTAACAGGGTAACACAATGGCAGCAATAACAGAAAGGGAAATGGAAACAAGTTACCAGGTATGGTAACGCCAACGGAGCCCAAGCTCACCCGTCGATGCCGGGCGGCATGTGGAGGTCGAGGAGCAGCAGGTGGGTAGGCGAGGAGGGAGAGGGAGTGGAGAGAGCGTGTAGAGCATCCTCCCCTGAGCATAGCAGCAGCACATGTGCCCCGTAGCCCTGCAGTGTTCTGCGTGCCACCATGCGGTTCACAGCGTTGTCATCCACCACTGCCACCCGCCGCCCCGCCACCGCCGCCCGCACCAGCGCCTCCACCTCCGCCACCCCGCCCGCCATGCCGCCGTCCTTGCCGCCCAGGGGTTTGGAGGAAGCGTGCTTTCGTGGTGCCTGGTGCTGCAGCGGTGCATGCTCCTGCATGCCCGGCTTCATGCCATTCCTTCCCACCGCACTCCCCTCCACATCGCCCTCCTCACTCTTGTCCTCAACCTCCTCGCTTGCAGTGACACCCCCCCCCCCCATGGGCAGTGCCACCAGAACAGTGGCGCCTGTGGTGGCGTCTGAGAGCACTGACATGCCCCCCCGCATCTCAGCCACCTGCGGAGGGAAGTGGGGAAGCGGGGGAAAATCGCAGGAGGGTGAGGGGGTGATTGTAAGGTGAGTAGAATCCCACTTGCATCGCAACAACAGGAAACACAAACGAGGCATGCATGGTTGATGCATGGCCTGCTTGGTAGATGCATGGCATGCCAACAATGCATGGCATCCATGGTTGATGCATGGCCTGCTTGGTAGATGCATGCCATGCCTGGTTGGGTGATGCATGGCTTGCCCGATCGATGGATGGGATGCCTCGTTGGTTAATGCATGACATGCCTCGTTGATGCATGGCATGCGTGGTTGATGCATGGCATGCCTGGTTGATGCATGGTATGCCTGGTTGGAGCATGCCATGCTTGTTTCATGCATGGCATGGCTGGTTGGTTGATACATGGCATGCCCGATTGATTCATGGCCTGCCTCGTTGATGCATGCCATGCCTGGTTGGTTGATGCATGGCATGCCTGATTGATGCATGGCATGCCTGGTTTGTTGTGCATGGAATGCCTAGTGTTGGGAATGCATCGCATGCCTGGATGATGCATGGCATGCCTCGTTTGCTGATGCATGACATGCCTGGTTGATGCATGGCCTGCCCGGTTGGTGCATGGCATGCCTTGTTGGTTGATGCATGGCATGCGTGGTTGGTTGATGCCTTCCATGGCATGCCTGGTTGGCTGATGCTTGGCATGCGTGGTAGATGCATGGCATGTCTGGTTGATGCTGGGCATGCCTGGTTGATGTATGGCCTACCTGTTTGATGCATGGAATGCCTGGTTGATGCATGACTTGCCTGGTTGGTTCATGCACTGAATGCCTGATTGATGCATGGTATGCCTGGTTGGTTATGCATGGCACGCCTGGTTGATGCATTGCATGCCTGGTTGATACATGGCATGCCTGATTGGTTCATGCATGACATGCCTGGTTGATGCGTGGCATGCCTCGCTGGTTGATGCTTGACATGCCTGGTTGATGCATGGCATGCCTGGCTGGTGCATGGCATGCGTTGTTGGTTGATGCATGGCAGGCGTGGTTGGTTGATACCTGCCATGGCATGCCTGGTTGATGTATGGCATGCTTGTTTGATCCATGGCATGCTTGATTGATGCATAGCATGTCTGGTTGTTTGATGCATGGCATGCTTTGTAGATGCATGGCATGTTTGGTTGATGCATGGCATGCCTTGATGATGCATGCCATGCATGATCCAGGAACCAGCCAGCAGCCAACACCTGCAGCCAGCAGCCAGCCACCAACCGCCAGGCCAGCTTTCTGCTCGCCACCAGCCGCCAGCCGCTTGCTTGCAGCTCACCGCTAGCCGCTGCCAGCGATTTGTCGCTAGATCGCAGCCGGCCGCTTCCAGTTATCCGCCGCCATCTTGCACCTAGCTGCTTCCAGGTCGGCACTGGCGCGCCGGTAGCAGCACTCCGCCGGCGTGAACCTGGTTGTCGACTACATGCCGCCAGCAGCTCCCAGTCTACTGCTGCCACCCCGCTGCTCCCCTCGCTAGCAGCCGGCTCCTGCAGCCGCCGGCTGCCACCGCCGGCGAGCAGCCTGCTGCTGCCGTCACGGCTGCCCACTGCCCCTCCTCGCAGCCCGCTCCTCTCACTCCTAGCAGCCTCCTGCTGCCGCCGTCGGTTTGCCAGTGTCCACAGCCTTCAGCTGCCACCTCCTACAGCTCGCCGCTGCCGCCGTCGGGTGCCAGTGTCCACAGCCTTCAGCTGCCACCTCCTACAGCTCGCCGCTGCCGCCACTCCGGACACTCACTGCCAGCGATCGCCATGGCGACCCGGTCTGCCCTTGTCCTCCGCCTGGGCCGAGGGTCGCGCGCTGGGCTTCTCTGCCTAGCTGGTCACCCTCCACTGCAAGCTTAAGTATATTTGCCACGACGGCCAGACCCTCGTGGCCCACACTTCGGGTACGTTACCTGCTCCCCCCGAGCTCGCTGCTCTTGCTACTGACGCAACGTCCAAGCAGCGGATGGAGCACTAGTCTGCCCTAGGAACCCTCTCTATTTGGGAGTCCCACGACACAGCTGCGCAGCTGGTAGTTGTTAGAAAAACACTGCAAATCCTACTTTTGTATTTGTACTTTTACATTCTAGTTTAGGTTAGGGAATGTTCTTGTGGGTTGGGGTATACTTACAAAATCCCAAGCTCACCCAATTGTGATCCCCCCAATCTCCAATTACCCGATTGGAGATTTTAGAGATCCCAGTAGGGATTCCCTCCGATTCCCCCTTCATCCATTCTCTCTCACCTTGCCATGTACTTATAGAACCTTGGGCTCCTTCCCTAGTCAATCCTTTTAGCTCTATTTCTTACAGTAGTCACTAGGGCCCTACCCTCAGTCAAACAGTCGGAATCGCCTCCACGAACGTCTCGCGTCAAGCAAGAGCAGGTACACAGGTGAAAGCGGAGCGGAGCTAGTTGTAGAGCTGGTTGCGGAGCTGGTTGCGGAGCTGGTTGTGGAGCTGTGTAGCCGCGGGACAGGGCCTGGGGGTGTGTGGGGGAGTATCTGCGTCCAGGGTTAGACATAGTCTCAGATTCAGTTTCAAGTCGGCATTTTAACGAATTTCCGCCGACGCCATTTCCTTCTTAGCAGCATTTCGACATAGCTGCCGGAGTGATTTTCAGCAATTCTCGTTGACCGATTTCCAGAATTGCTGCGCTCCGCAATGAAGTTCCTATCGGTGACTTAAGAGCGTCGCTTCGTGAAAATCAAGCGGCAATGGCTTACTCAACCACTTCACTCGCCAACCCGATCCCGCTCCTTTGTCTCGAGCCGGAAATAACATGCTCCAACTACAAGGCTTGGCACTATGGTGTTAACAAGCACCTCCTCAGTCGCGAGGTGAAGCGGCTCGAGCTTACCGATGTCCTTGTCAATATCGGTGACGGCAAACAACCTCCTAAACCTAAGAGGTCCGCCAATCCAACTAATGCCACCGCCGAAGCAATTTATGCTGCTACACTGCTCAAGTTCAAGAATTGAGAAAAGGCCGATGGTGCAGTCATTAGTGTCTTCATGGGCACCACTCCTCTCGAACTCATCAAAACCTACCACAACTACCCGTCTGCCAACGCGATTTGGCTCTACCTCGAAGACCGCTTCCTGAACAAGACTGAAGTGGGAGTTGCTATACTCATCCCCAATATGTTCCAAGTGCAGTTCGAGGACTCGCAAGGCATGGTGGACTATGTCAACAAAGTGTAGTCCATTTATGGTAAACTCAAGCAGTTGGGGATAGTCTTCCTCGAGCGAGCCCCTGTAGCCGCTCTCCTAGTCGGCCTCACTCCGGCATACGAAGTCACACGCAAGATGCTCTTGGGCCTTGCTCCAGCGGACCTCACATTTGCCAAGGTCTCATCCGCGCTCCATTCTGCCAAAAAGGACAACAGCGCTCAAGCCAAGGCCAATGCAATCCGCACTCATGTTCAACAGTGAAGAGACTCCTCCGCTATCTACAAGCCACCAAGTCTCACATCCTCACTCTCGGTGGTACCTCTCCAGTCAAGCTGGAGGGGTACACAGACTCCTTCTGGGTCGATGACCAGACTGACGGACGCTTCTCCCAAGGGAACTTCTTCACCCTTGGTAGCGGAGTCATCAGCTGGCGATCCACTCGGTACTCTGCAGTCTCCTTGTCGTCCTGCAAGGCCGAGCTCTATGCAGGCACAATGACTGCTCAAGAGGCACACTGGCTCTTCTTTCTCCTCGCTGAGTTTGCTACCCCCAGCAGTCGCCCACCTTGTTGTGTGACAACCAGAGTGCCATTCACCTTACCAAGGATCCTATGTTCCACTCTCGCACCAAGCATATTGAACTTCGTCATTTCCTCATCCGAGATCTTGTTCGGAGTGACCAGCTGACGGTACGGTACATCGCGTCAAATTGCAACCTTGTCGGCCTCTTTACCAAGGCTCTCTGCAAGGCTGACCACCATCGCCTTCTCCGTTCCATGGGGCTATGTGCTCCTTGACCGGGTTTGCAGTCTATGGGGGTGTGTTAGAAATAGACTGCAAATCCCACTTTTCTATTTGTACTGTTATATCCTAGTTTAGGTTATGAATGTTCTAGTGGGTTGGGGTGTACTCACAAAATCCCAACCTCACCCAATTGTGATTCCCCCATTTTCCAATTACCTAATTGGAGATTCCTGAGATCCTAGTCGGGATTCCCTCTGATTCCCCCTTCATCCATTCTCTCTCACCTTGCCATGTACTTATAGAGCCTTGGGCTCCTTACCTAGTCAATCCTTTTAGCTCTATTTCTTACAGTAGTCACTAGGGCCCTACCCTCAGTCAAGCAGAATCACTGTGAGATGCTAGAGACAGCTAAGGAAATATGGGACACAGTTGTCGCTCGCTAATCTACCCTGTCCTCCATTACCCCAGGTCGTTTCCTGCTGCCGTTTTTGTTCCCCGACCTAGCCTTCTTCTCCACTGTAGCAGACCTAGTTGCACACCTGCACTCCCTTGAGGCTCGCTGGCCTACAGCCTGCCCTGAGGACCAGCCCACCACCCACGTCGCGCCCATCTACATGACCTGTTCGTCTTTGCCACTTGCCTCCCTGTCTGTCTCGCCCCTATGCGACGCACTCTCCTCGCACAGCCCCTCACTACCCTTGCTGCCACTACGTTTTCCACTGCCCTGATGACGGTTGAGTCGCGCCTCCATGCCATTGCTGCCACCACCGGCATGGTATCAGTCCCAGTCTTCCAGGGCTTCTCTGCTCCCCTGATCCTTTTTTCTAGGGCTTCCGCTTCTGTCGCGGAGTTTACCGAGACAGCTAGAGCGATCACCACGCCCAGTCGCTCCTCGGGAAAGAGGGGCAAGGGTTGTGGGGTGTCGACAGCGATGGGTGGCGGGGGTGCTGGGGTGGACGGAGTGGTCGGTTAGACCTAGTCGGGGACTGCGCAGCAGCAGTAGCAGGCGCGGTTGCAGCAGCAGCCACAGCTGCCGTGTTGGCCGGTGGGCCCTGGGAATGGTGGTCGTGGTGCAGGTTGGGC